AGCCTGCAGCCCCGCCGGGTGGGGCCGGCAGCCACATTTCCGCCCTGCAGAAGGGGAAACCCGGGCAGGGAGGTCAATTGCCTTCCTGAGATCTCGCAGTTAGTCATGAGCTGACTTCTGCTTTTTCGATTCCTGGTCTAGAGTCCTCCTGCTTCACCTCTCCTAGGAGCCCTTCACCTCGTTATCTTGGGGCCCTTGGCGGGGCTGCTGGGCCCCCTCCTACCACGCCCTGCAGGCCTGAGCATGAAGGCCAGCCAGGGCCCACAGGGGTGCTGTAGAAGCCCCAGAAACAGCCTTCTATCCAGAATCTCAACTGGCGCTGTCTGGTCGGAGGAGGGGGAGCGGCCCACTCAGATATGGGGAGCTGGAGGCCCCCCAAGGCCAGGGTGGTAGAGCAGGTGGCCATGGCAGCCCCTCACTTCTTCCTGGGGTTGTGACCCCCGAGGCTGCTCTACAGGACCAGCGGACCCAGATGCTGTGGGCTCTCAGGCCCTCATCGGGGTCCCCGAGTCCTCTGTGTCCTTTGGCTCTGAGATGGGCTTCCTTTGAGCCACAGGACACACCTCTGGGGCATTTGGAGTCGAAACTGGAAAAACCTAATGAGCAGCCATTTGATCCAGGTGGACTGGGCCGGCACCAAGCCTCCACCGTGGGGTTTCGGCATGCCTGACAGCACCGGGAAAAGGGGTGCTCCATCCTCTCCCCTAGATTTGAAGGTGGGGTACCCAGGGGCTGGCTGGTGTGTGCAGGGGCCCCAGATCTAGGTCACTGGGTCAGGAGGGTGCACTTCCTCCCTGAACGCTCAGAATGTTGGTGAATTCAGCTGCTAGCTCGTACCTGTGTGCTGTGGCCACCCTGCACCTGGCCCTGTCCCGCCTGCCACAGCTGAGCACTGTCGCTGATGGCTCTGTCCACAGCACAATGAGACAGTGTCCCGCTGTCATTGCAGTTTGCCTGGTGCTCAGTCTGTGTGTACTGGGTGGAGAAAAATGAAGACCAAGTGTATACTACGGGCTGTCAATCAAACTACAGTGATGCTCCAACTCAGCCAAAACCTAGCCGGGTGTGATGGCACATGCCTGTGGTCCCAGCACTCAGGAGGCTGAGGCAGGAGGATTGGCACAAGTTAGAGGCCAGCATGGGCAGCATAGCAGGATCCTGTCTCAAAAAACAGACAAACAAGAAAACCAAAGTCCTGTCTGGGACTTGCAGGGCCCTGTGTCTCTGGCTACCCCTTCCTCTCCAACCCCCCCCACCCCCAGAGGCTGCTGATCCCAGGGCCTTTGCTCTTCCCCCAGGGGTGGCTGCACAGCCTCCTTGAGGTCCACTCTCCCGTGGCACCTCGTCTGCCACCTTTGCTAACCTCTCACCCAGGCCTCCTCTCCTCGAAAAGGAAAGACACTCACTCAGCTGTGCTAATGCAGAAGGGAGGTGGAGAGGTCGCTTCCTCCCTACACGGTGTGGCTTCCAGGCTGGTCCCCGGGCTGAGAGATGAGGAGGTGCCTGTGGCCTTTGTTCATAGCAGACAGCACCCTGCGATGCCAGTGAGTTACAGCGACTCTTGGCTTTTGCAATTGTGATGCCATCAACCCGAGACCTTGTGTGGCCCCTGTACTGTCACCCTCCTCGTCCCTAATGTGTGAGGAGCAATGGTGTCAGCTGCCTTGGGCTGTGGGGCAACTCTGATGCCCACAGGGTTTTGTTTGTGGAGTGGAGGGGCAGCTGGGGCCGGGGCTGAATGACTTGGGCGACACAGGGACGGCAGTGAGCGAGGCTTCGGGTGGGGAGGAGAGACAGGGTGCGGCCTGAGTCCCAGGAAGGTGGGCGACATCCACAGTGGCTTTCGTGAGTGTGCTGGATGGGTTGGGGCCTCTGTAAGATCCCTATTTCTCTGGTGTGTGGGGCTGGATCTGTGTCCAGTCAGTAGCAAAGCTTAGGGGGTGCCAGTTCCCAACAAAGGCGCCAGTGGGAGGCTAGCTCTCCAAGGACTTGGGTTCTCCGCACGGTCTCGGGAAAGAGCCAGGCACTGGGTAAGTGTGTGTTTGTGTGCGTGTGCACAGAGCAGGTTCCCTAAAAGGAGGATACCTTTGACTCCCCAAAAGCCCGCGGCCAGATCCCCAGGCCTCCTAGCTTCCCTCCCCGCCTCCTCTCCCTGGACATGGACCCCGGCCATGTTTGCATATCCACACTTGGGCCTGCTGTGCCGCTCCACACCCACCCCTCTGCGTTCCCCAGTGGAGGAGCCCCCTGGAGCCTGCCCTGTGCTGGTGCAGCTCTGCTGTCCTGCGGCCCACGCAGAGGACCAGACGGGCAGGATGGGGGGGCTGCAGCCTTGGCCTCCCAGGCCAGCCAGGGCTGTGCCCACCTGCTCGGAGCTGTCCAGACAGCTGTGCTTCGGCACTGCAACAGGCTCCTCTACCTAGTGTCTTTGAGCTTCCGATTACAAATCAACAGTAAGTTTAGGACAGAAAAGACCAGAGTACCTTACACGTTAGGGATTAGATGTTCTCTCTCGTGCACAGGCCTGTGTAAAATGTATGCAAAAGCATTGGAAGCCATTTGTCTGGACAGTCGCTGCATCTGTGACTTTGCCAGGGTCCCTCCTTAGGTGGCATTTGTTGTGTTCGTGCAGAGAAGTTGTGGTACCCTGCAGCTCACATTAGACCCATGGGGGCCGGGGTTTTCATGCGAAGCTGTTGCTCCTGGCTCTGATCGTCGGATCCCGGTAGGGGCCAGACAAAGCCCCTAACACCATGCAGTGAGTACTTTTTCTATTCTCTGAAAAGCAGGATCGGCTCTCTAGCCGTTTTGCCTAAGTGAGTCACTTTAACATCTGCATGCACTTCTCCAAATGCAGCAAAATAGAACATGTCACGCTAAACTCGGGAGAAATGTCTTTGTCCAGAAATGGTGTCAGCTTGTTGTTGGCGTTGCCATGGGGAACATGAGAGCTCTGGCTTTGCAATGCAGCAAGGAGAGCACTGTGATTGGCTGCTCTTGCCGCCCGTCACTGCTGCCCCGCATACTGCAGTGGCTAAGAAACCCACCTCAGATGCCCTGGCGCAGCCTGGGGCAAACTTTCTGCTGACCCCAGTGAGTCCCCCCAAAGCAGGAGATCTAGAAAGACTCAGAAAATGGGAGAAGAGAAAGGGGAAGTGGGCATTGGCGAGCAAGAGCAGGTCTCACCAGCAGAGGGCCCAGCCACGGTGCAGCTGGACCTGCCCGCTCCCGGGCTTACTAGCGCTTTGGTGTCCAATGGAAGGAGCCCTAGGTAGAGCCCTGCTGATGGGTGGGTCTTGAACCTTCTGGGTTTTGGCTTATTTTTAAAGAAACAAAATAGATCCCCCCGGAGAAGGGAGCCTTTGCTGGTTTTGGCCATTTTAAAGCGGTTCACTGGACGCCCAGGGGAAGGTGGCAGGTGGGGGCTGGACGCCTGGCTGGGCACTGAGGGGCAAATGTGCCGGTGTTGGGCCTGGGTGGGGCTTTCGGGGTTAGTGTCATTCCAACTCCCGACGGGCAGGAACGCATGGCCTCGCGGGGGAACCGCACCTGGGGACCAGGTTCTCCCCGGGGCCGGCCACGCCGCACGTGGGATGTCCAGGCTGAAGCCGGAGTCTTTCCTGTGCACCCAGGGAGCTCCGTGCTTGTGGCCCAGATGGGGGCGCTACTGGCCCGGCTGAGCCTGGCTGCAAACAAACACCAAACACCTGTCGGGCTCGTGCAGCCAGAGGCGTGGAGACCACCGTCTGGGGTTCTGGAATGTTCCATGAGGAGACGCTGGACTTCCTGCCCCCGCTCACAGGAGTCACCGGAGAAACAATAGGCGACGACGAGCTGGTCACGCTGGTCTCAGCTCTGGTCTCGGGTCCTCCCGAGCCTGCGGGAGTCTGGAAGGAGCCCTGTGGGTCCCCCTCAGACAGGCCCGCGGGCGGGACTTGGGGCAGGAGGCCCCTGGGGAGGCAGGACCCCTGCCCGGGGCACCTAGGCCACCTGAGGTCGCGGGGGCTGTGGCAAACTGGCCGCCCCGGCCGTGCGCTGGGGAGACCCAGCTTCCTGGGGGAGGGACCCCTGGGAGCCCCACACCTGCCCCTCACAGAGGGGCAGGCGGCGGTGGCACCCCAGGCCCGGGTACGTGCGCAAGGAGAGTGCACGTGCACTGGGGAACGCACATGTGTGTGCAGGGAGTGCGCGTGTGAGAGCACACGTGTGCAGAGTGGATGTGTGAGGCGAGTACGTTTGTGGGACAGCATGAGGTTTAGGGGGTGTGAGTGTGCACTTAGTGTGTATTCACAGGAGATTTTGTGGGCATCGAGGATTGTGCAGGAGTATGCAACTCTATGTGTGAAAAGGAGCATATGTGCAGGTGCACATGTTTCGGGAGAGCGTGTGTGAGCGAGAACGTGTGTATGCAGGGAGAGTGCGTGTGTATAACGTATGTGTGCGTCGGTGAGTGGGACTGCGTGTGCTGGACAGGCGAGTGTGTCGCGGAGCTCGTGTGCCCCCAAGCACAGAGCCAGGCCAGGTCTGGGCTCCGCGGGATGCAGTGTGGGCTGTGCGTGCACGTGCACGCGCCCGGGAGTGTATCCGTGTGCGCGGTGCGCGTGCGCGCCTGTTGCACCAGGCAGCGACGTGGCGCGTGTCCCGGGTGCGGGGCAGCGCGTGTGCCCGCGGGCGCGTGTGAGAGGCGGCGGGAGCCGGCAGCCTGGCCCCCAAGCCTCTGAGGCCGAGGCCGGCCTGACCCGGAAAGGCGGGCGCACGCGGTGGGAGGCGGGGCGCGTTGCTAGGCGGGCGCGCGGGCCCTTGGCGACGGCGCCGGCGGCCCCGGGCGCGCGCGCGGCGGGG